ATGCACAGAGCAGTATATCAAATACCACGTGATCTGAATACAAAATACAGGGAAGGAAGCAAAGGAAGGTACAATGAGGAACAGTTTAAGCTACCATTAAAAGTAAATGACTAGAAATTGGAGTAAAATCCCCTTTTGTGTGTGTGTGTGCGCACGCATAGGGAAAAATTAAGCACCATGAAGACATCATTGAAGGATTTGAAAATATGCCAGCTGCTTTCATGGGCATGCTAAAGGGAGACAACTTTGGAAAAGCAATACTGAAAGTGTGAAGGGAATGTGATCCGCTTCATCATGGAGTACAACATAGATACTTTTCTACTACTATTTTATATGGGTAAGATTTATAACCTAAAGGGAGATCGTACTAATGACACATTTCAGTTTTATTACCAGATAGTCAACCATTAGTTGCCAGTAACGTATAAATTCATTAAATGGTTCTGAGCCTTAGGAGCTAGCATTTTTGTAGTTGTAATCCAACCAATTGCCTACCAGTACTGAATTGCTTATCTGATGTTTGCAGGACTGCACTGCTGATACAGAATTGCTAACCTAGAGGTACCCTTAGTTTCAGTGAGTTAGGGTTTGCACTGAGAAGAAGCCTACTGGCAACTATCCCAAGGCAAACCTGAAACAGGCTTGCCGCAGATCACAGCAAAGGCTTCTAAAATTCTTCATTTAAAAGGTTAAATTAGTTTCAGGAACAGCATATGGGGAGAATAGTACCAGATCTTAACCAGGTTGTTAAGTCAGTTGTGTCTTTTAAACATCATTGTTAGAGCAAACTGCATTGTACCCATGATAAATAAACAAACTAGATGTTTTAAAAATATGTGACTAAGCTTATAATTACCAATTAATGAAATGTCTCCAAGCTATCAACTATGGATTGCAGAGTTGCATTTTCATTTAGGTGTAAGAGGCTGGTGGAGCAGAGTGATCTCTGTTCTTTAAGCTTTTCTTTCTTACTGTGGAGATCTACAATCTAGCTTTATCAAGGTGCCAACTGCATATTAGTATACCTTTGGCTTAAAGGTATAGTCCCACAGGCAGGGCAGATTTTTGCTAACTTGATCTGGTCTTAAGCTTGGAGCAGGTCCCTGAGTACAAGAGTGGAACTTGAACAATTACTTCTTAACAGGGTAGAGGAAACTTAGTGGTTGATCTATGTTATTAACTGCTGCAGCTCCTCTTACTATGCTCAGCAGTAGCTGTACGAGTGCCTGTTTTTGCAATAGACGACAGGACTTACAGAACTGCAGCTCTGGCCAGATACTCATCCGAATTAGCTAGCCTCTTAACAGAAGAAGGCTGTAAAGGTGGGAAGGAGTCAGCAGTAGCATAACAAGGAGGGGGTAGGGATCCAGCATGGTGAGACACCAGCCTGTATGGGTATTGGTACTGCACAGGTCAGCCATATAATAGTGCAGGTGAGAAGCATAGGAATGGTGGAAGCAAGTGCCAGGGGAACAAGGTACAAGGATCAGGCTGCCTGCTCCCTCTTTCCCCACTCCCCTCATAGTAGGGGACATTTTGAAGGGGTTAAAACATTCACCAGACATTATGGCACATTAGGGCAATGTCATCCAATTTATCCTTTGGAAACTGCAGTAAAAAGGCAGGCTTTTATATAAGCTTCAAGTACTGCACACAACAGCTGAAGGCAAAGAATTGATCATTTTATTGTACTCATTTACAGTTTGAAGGGACAGTTTATTTTGATATTTATTTCTGAGCTAACGTGATCAGTCTTTAAGTAGAAAAAAAGTTACATGCTATAATTTAAGCAGTCAACATTTGTTCACACTGTTTGTTGGATCCACTGTTACATTAGTTCTTTAATATGCTCCTCCAGCTTTTCTTTGTTTGCTCCAGAAAATTCCTTCACCTACAATGAGAAATTTTTTCAGGCTATACATTTTAGCTCTATTATTAAATAAAAAAAAAAAAGAGAGAAATATCAAATCACTTCCAGTTATACCACATTATACTCCCTTGGGGGTGGATGGCTATTCCTGCTTTCCAGCTTCATTTTCAAGGTTTGGGACACTTTGAAGTCTGGTTGTATTTTTAGAACAGGTACCCACCAAGTTAAACATTTCTTAAGAACATGTCTCCATACCCATCGCAGGTCCCAGCCCAGCAAGTCCACTGCTCTCAATTGTGTCCTTACACTGCAAACTGTCATTATCCAAAGAAGTGGGCTTGGCAGTCCAATGTGTTGACTAGGAAGTACATGATACCACACAGTAGGACCAAAACACTCAAAGATGTATGAGGTTTAGATAACACAGCAAAACAAAACTTGCATGCAACTGAGGCAGTCATTTATTTACAGAAATGAATTTTAGGGAAACACTGCTGGAGAGTCATTAAGAGACACTACTAGTCTAAACTGCCACTGGCTTGAGATACACAATGTCTCAAGACCTAATACTGAAGGGCCAATTAAGCCAAGTTTAAGAGCCAGATCACAAAAGGCTTTAGTGTACAACAATGCCTTTTCTCCCCCCCCAAATGTGTGCACTTAGTAAGCTTGGGAAGGGTCCTGTGCTGGAAGGGGCATAGCTGGAAATACTGAATGCCATGGAGCTGTCAAGTTGGCTACTGCTTGCATTTGCTCAGAAAGCTAAAAGATGCAGTCTTGTCAGCCCTCCCCCATAGCCACAGCTATTAGAGTCAAGTACTGCAGCTTCTGCTCAAAGCAGCAAGCGAGCCATTATCAGCATTGTGATGAGGCCTGTGCTGCAGAAACACATCATTTACAGAAGCTGTATAAAGAACTACTTGCAACAGAGTAGTAGTAGTCCTGCTGCTGCCTTTTGCAAGGGTCTGGGGCCTAGCCTCATGCAACAAAGGAAAGATTCTAGTGCCATACTTTCTGGAGACTGTTTCCATGAGAATTTACTGTCACAGTCTGCCATGATTCTGGAGAAGTCTCCCTCCACACTCCCTAGTATTTTGCCTTCTGAAGAAGGAAGGTGCGTTTTTGTTTGGGGGTTTGAGAGAAAAATATGGTGCATCAGTTTGGTCACTGAAAGATTATTACTTCAGCCTCTCTACAAAAAGGTGGACAGTAATCAATAGCTATCTTTACTTCTGTTTTATTATACCTTCATAATGTTTCAGAAGAGTTATTACTGTAATTGGTAAATGCTAACCTATTGCAGTGGTTAAGCAGAGAAGTTGCATACAGCCAGCTGACAAACATCTGTCTGGGGCAAAAGTGAAGAGTGCCTAATTCTGACTAGAAGATTATGAACCAGGGCATACATTTCAGGTATCTCCCTGAAATGGACAGTTGTCTGGTATGTTGGCAGGACTCGACAGGTAGTTATTATATGTTTTTGGTATTTTTTTTTTTTAAAAGTATGTTTTAGTGACCCATTACTCTTGGCTAGAAAATCTAGTCTCAGGGTATATTAATTTCCTTGCACTTTTAGTTCAAGTCATCTGAATTGTAGACAAGTAGGTTAGCTAGCAAGCTCTACTGCTTGAGAAACTGATACAAGTTCTACAAAACATGAATGAGCATCTTTAGCTTTGGAAGACTTTCCTGGTACATGAAACCAGATTCCATTCTTCCTCCCTACCCGCAAAAGGTCATGCAAAGCAATCATCTACATTTTAAGAATACTTTCTAGGCCTAAGTATAGCTACTATTGATCTGGGTTCAGATTCAAACATTTCAGCATCCAGTGCTCTCCTTCCCAGGGCTGCTTTTCCCCACACCTGCTCCACCAGGAATGTGGAAACTTACCCGCTTGCCACTCTTGTAGAACAGGAATGTCGGCATGCATTTGATTTGACAATGTTCAGCAACATCCTAGAAGAGAGGAAGTTTCACTGGAATCTTAAGATATAAAACGTTAGGTTACAACTAGAAAGCAGTCTGTTGAAAAAAAACCACAAAAAAAACAAACAAACTGCTAGAGGACAGATTGGAGCTAAGCATGTACTTGGTAGCAAGTAAAGGGATACATTCAGTGGAGTCTACCAGTCATAGATAAAAGCTATAGTCTCCTCATCTTCTCTAAAAATTAAGAGCCACTGTTCTAAATCTAAAGAAGAGGCACCCCTCAGAATCAAGGCACACCTCCAAGTTTATCCAAATTGAGCAGTATCTCCATTTCAGAGACTTTGCAAAGGAGCCAGGTAATAGGGGCAGGAGAGTGGCCAGGCAGGCAAAGCCAGAACCTGCCCATATCCACTTATCTCCTTGCACTTTCTGCAGCACCCTTCAGAGGAGCTCATTCACTTAAGTATATCACTAGTTCCAGTTTCCTCTGGGGGACTGTTTGACAAACCCAGGATTTTAGGGTCCACTCAGCTACCAGGAAGCCTCATTGCGTCAGGCCCCATTCCAAGCAGGTTGTGAGGGTGTACTCCACCAACAGGTTGAGCTACCAAATTCCAAGAAGTGTTCCTGCTAAAGAAGTTGTTGCTCAAGTGTCTGAGGCCAGAAAAAGAATCCTTAAGAACTGAAGCTTACAGCAATACATTCATTATTTCAATTATGCATCTTAGCCAATCAAATTTAACTGGTGCAACAACAAGAAAAAAAAATCCTGTCGTTAGGGGCAGTTGGGACAACCCTTGGGTAAGCTCTTGCTTAACAGCAAAGGGAATGGATACAAGAGAAAGTTTGAGAAATATGTATTCCTTGGCAGAGGTCAGGTGAGACTCACAGACATAGGTATTTAGTGCCCTTTCAAGTGATTGCATGACAGCCAATTAATACACGCTGTTACCTTGTAAAGAAGCCTCAAGAACATGCACTGTAAGAACTCCCTCAACATGTAATCTTACCAAATGAGGATTTCTCATGTTGATACAATTAAAAGAGCTGAAGCCATGCAGCATTCCTACTCTATTTTTCCCCTCCACTCAAGAACATTTCTAAACTTAGTGGATATTGGCAAAAAGACAGCTTCCAGGGAGAAGCAGGGATAAGTTAGACAGTTCTAAAAGAGTACAGCAGAAAGTTGAATTTTACATTGACTCTTGGCATCAGTCCCTGCGGTTGTACTGTTTCATAGCAGTAGCTAAACAGCTTGCCTGCCTTTTGACATGCCATCAGTTTATTTGTACTAAAGTCAAAAAGGAAACATTACTGCTCCAGTAAAGCCAAAGTTCGTGGGAAGATTAAGTGATCAAGGCATAGAGCTTACCATGCTCAGATGAGTGCTGTTACACTTGAGGAACATGGAGAACCTGGAGAGGGTCCAGAGGAGGGCCTCCGTGGCCAGCCCTATGAGGAGAGGCTGAGGGACCTGAATCTCTTCAGTCTCTGCAAGAGGAGACTGCGGGGGGGAAATCTTGTGGCCGCCTACAGCTTTATCAGGGGTCAGGGAAAGTTAACTAGGGCCCCCCCTTGGAGTCACCAGTAACAATGGCCACAAGCTGAGGGAGGACAGGTTTAGGTTAGATATTAGGAAGAACTACTTCACTGTAAGGGTGGCCAGAGCCTGGAATAGGCTTCCCAGAGAGGTGGTGCTCTCGCCTTCCCTGGAAAAAATCTTCAAGAGGAGACTGGATGGGCACCTGGCTGGGGTCTTATGACCCCTCCCACCCCCAGTGCTCCTTCCTGCCCATGGCAGGGGGTCGGACTCTATCCATCTAGGTCCCTTCCCACTCATTGATTCTATGATTCTTGTAAGGGCCAAGCAAATTTTAGCTGCCTTACTAGGACTGAAGACTTGCCATCTTGAAGTATAAATCTGAGTTCAATCCTGGTAAAGCAGCTAAAAATCGTCTCCTTAGCACCCTTCTTCCCCATGCCTGCAGTGAAGACTATGGAGTCTGCCATACAGTTGTACTTGTGCATCTGAA